CAGGTCGTTAACACATGCGTCGACGAAAATTTCATCTCCTTTTCAGGCCACAATAGTAATATTTATCCTTTAGCAAATAACAGAAATCCGAGATAAGAAAACCGTTAGACATATCTTGTATTTTCCAACTAAATTGTCTGGACACTCATTACACACATCTATATAAAAAGAAACATACGAGAAAGATTGTATACATTTTGCTTATTCATTGTCTTATAATTCTGTCAGATTCCAATCCATATGTAATTTACATTTGACCCCCAAACTAAGAATTTTACTCATTATTACTGTTACCATTGTCTTCAAGACCACATAACAACCAGATAATAAATAATACTGGTTTTTGTTGTTTTATAGGATACAAATCCTATATCATTCCAAAAAATGACTAAAAAACACAAAGTAGATTTGCACACCCGCAAAATCGGATCAAAACGATTAAAAACAGATTTCGCAATAAGGTGTGAAATTAATTTTCTGAACAATGAAAGGAGGCGATTTGCTAAACCAAAAAAAGATAACGAGCCAGTGTGAAAAAAAAAGTCAATAATAAATACAAAGTTTCAAGTCAGTCGCGAGTCAGAAGGGCGCAGAGATCATAGAAGACTGACACTGACTCAACCCGACACAAAGAGCCGAAAGTGGATTAGGAAAGGAAAACAACAACAACAACAACAACAAATTTACAACTGACTCCAAAACAATTCATAAGAACATTTTCCTTTTATCTTTATTCCTCATTCACACTCTTTTTTTTTCAACTTAAATTGCTTGCCCCTTTTTCATTTGCAACTATACAAAAACAAAAGAAACACATTACTCTGCTACTCTGTTGAAAGACAGCGAACACAGACATTTTATCAAAAATCACATTTTGCTTAAACGAACTAAAACATTAATCTTTTTAACCCTATTTACAAGATAATAAATATACAATGTTCTATTTTTATAAACGTTCATTATCGTGTTGTTTCTTTTTGAAATTTGCGTTGTATTTTTTGTGGGCAGGGTATCCCATATTAAATTCTCCTTTAATCCGGGTACGTTGAACCCCACAGTTCCACTGTCCTAAACTTCCACGACATTAAGGTCTGCAACAACAAATTTACTGTCCAAAACAATTTGTAAAACCGCCTTTTTAATCCACCCTTTTTCAAAATGTATTCGCCCCTTTTTGATTTAAGATACAAAACAAAACAGCAGCTTACTTCCTCTAAAGACGAACCACTGCTCACATTTGAGGAACCCTATTCTAATAAATATACAATGTACCAAAATGGTTGATTCTTTCCATTTTTCTACAATTCTTAACCAGTTCAAGTCTCCAATGATTAACCATTTTTATCTTCCACACGTATTCGCATAAGTTGGGCGTCCACTAATTCTCTGAAAATCTTTAACTTTCATTGAGTGACCATCAGGCAAACTTGATTGGAATCGATTTTTTTTCACAAATATCATTGTCAAATAAACTCTGTAAAAAAATCTTCCAAAATAAAATATTACGAAAAATAACGGAAATTTATTCAAAGTAGAATTTTAGTCTGGTTATTTTTTAAATTTAAAATATATATTTAAACAAACAAGAGCTGTGTTTACATAGACATGTTTTAAAGACAGCGAACACAGACATTTTTATCAAAAATATAATTTAATAAAATGACGTTTTAATTTTTTAAATTAAACGAACTAAAACGGTTTAAATTTACTTTTTTTTCCCTATTTACAAGATAATAAATATACAATGTACTATTTTCTATAAACGTTCCTTTTCTTATCGTTTGTTTCTTTATTGAAATTTGCGTTGTATTTTGTGGGGGGCAGGGTATCCCTTTATTAAATTCTCCTTTTCCCTAATCCGGGTACGCTTCATCCTTCTACTTCCTGCACCCATTCTGAAGATAAAGAAGACAAATTCTTCTCCTTGGGAATTTGGTCAGCATGAGCAAGTTCAATTTAATATATATAAAAAAAAAAATATATGTATTATTTCTTTTGCAATAAAATACAAAGCACATAGACAGATGGACTTAACATTGTTGTTTAACAATAGTGAATATTTGTTCTTTAAGTGAATGTTCCATCCTATTTTGAAAAATGTTCTGTATGTTGTAATGTAGGTTGGAAAAGTTTGTCTTAATAGTTTTACATGTATGTGAGCTTGATTGGAAATATTACTAAAGGCATGGAATATTATTTAATGTCTGACATGCATGGTCAAGACGATAATTTCTCTTCTCAGGGACTACATTTTTTTCTTTTTTGCTTAAAATTTCAGCAAAAGAGAGAAAAAAGAGAAAGAATCTTCTTTGTGACAGGCTCAAAAGAACCTGTCTCCAGGGAAAATTTTACTTTAGTCACATGCTGGAAAAAATTTATTCTGTTTATCCGTGGGGTGGATTGCAATCGGATCCCATTTCGTGTTTTTTTATTGACCAATTAAAAGCTGATATTTCCCCTTTAAATATTTACTAAGTCGAACGCCATCAGTCTAAGAAGGCTCTTTGTAAAATCAATACGATTTTTGCTCTAAACGAACTAAAACATTAATCTTTTTTACCCTATTCAATAAATGATAAATATACAATGTACTATTTTTGCTCACTAGCGTCAAAGGTTCCTTATCGTTTTGTTTCTTCTTGAAATTTGCATTTATATTTTGTATTTTTTTGGGACTCAGGGTAAAATTAAATTCTTTTCCTTTAATCCGGGTACACTGAACCCAACAGTTTTCCAAATCATCTTCCCTTAAATCTTTTATATCATCTGTTTATTTTTCAACATTTACTTTTCAATAGTATTTTTGTATATATGGTAGTGTTTTTCCTGTAACAGGCCTGAGGTTTATAATTATTTACTCAAAATTTTCATTTATCGTTTAACACCCCAACGTAGGGGCCTCCACTAATTCGAGATACCCAAGATTGAAAATGATTTTTTTTATAATCTCCAAAATTCTCAGGTCAAATCTTTTTTCAAGGAAAAAGGGCTTTCTCTTCCTTTATTAAGCTTTCATTGAAAGCTAAATGATTAAATTTACTATTTCCAACTGGTGTATTTCAAATTTGATTGGAATCGATTTTTTTCTAAAATAGCTGATTAGCAGCCTTTTTTTTTTTTTTTAGTCGTCTGTCATTGCAATGTAATTCTCTGTATTAAAAACATCTTCCAAAATAAAATATACTTTTCTGAAATAATATTTGAGGAATATTTGCTGATTCAAAGTAGAATTTTAGTCTGATTTGAAACAAATATTTACTTTAAATTTAAAATAACATAGAAATGTATTTTTAAAACAAACAGTAGCTGTGTTTTTAACCGACATAGACATGTTTTAAGTAATTGACGAGGCGACGACAGATTCTTTGTTGTTCTACAGAGATCTTATCTGTTAAAATATAATTTAATAAAATGACGTTTTTATATAATTTTTAAATACCCATAAATCTTAAAAATGTTGAAAAATATTCTCAGTAATCTAATTTTAGTAATATTGACTTTAAATTTACTATAGTCATCCCTCTTATTTTCTGATAATGCCGTATATAGTTAACCATATTTTAAAAATTGGACATGTTACATAATATTTTATATATATAAAAATCCTAAAAATTATTCTTTAAAAATTTTTTATGAGCTACCTGAGCAAAATTATTTATATTAAATTTATATTAAGCTTTTCAATTTAGATGAGTAAATATAGTTTTTACTTAATAACTATATTATCTAACTCGCTTAAAGTAATTTAGAATATTAAAAGATTTATTAGATTTTTTAATTATTATAATTAAAATTGAAAAAAATGGAAACAATTCTTGTAAAAATTCATTTTTCTTCGAAAAAAAAAATTGATTTCTTAACACAATAGCGTCTTTAATAAATCTTATTTTTAAAAGCAGTAAAAAGCTTTTCTAATTAAATAATGTCAGTTTTACTGCATTTTTTATTTTAAGATTTGAAGCGGATTTTAAGGACATGAATAGCAGTTTGAAAAAAATAATTATTTACATTCCCCAAGGACTCCTGCTTTTAACTAATAAAACAATTTCAGGGGATTAAAATTTAATTTCTCAAAATTTCATGAAAATAAGTGGAGGGATAGCAGATCTAAATATCAACATCAGATCTCCCTATCTATCTATCTATCTATCTATATATATATATATATATATATATATATATACCAATATTTCTAAAAAAAATTCCAAAATAATTTTATTCATTTATGAATAAGTCCTAAAAGTTGCACTAAAATCCGACAATTATTCGATTTTTGTAAGAATTTGCAATCAATATGTTTTTCAACAGAAAAAAAGGCGCGTAAACACTAATTGTAAATTACGACGACCCCCTAACGAACAAAATATATTTTTAACCAAAATTTCGAACATGCTAGAAGGAATTAAAAAAATTAATAAAATAATTTAAAAAAATACTTTGGTCATTCCTCTTAATAATAACAAACATTTTGACGATAAAAATTTGTTTTTATTAAGTTTAGGGTATTTTTTCATCATGCTATGCTGTTTTTCAGCGAATTAGTGGTTGTACTTGGTACGGTATCAACCATTTGTTAACCAATTCGTTAATACTTTAAACTGAAGTTGCAAAACAGAGGACGTCTTACTCTTTCTTCCAACATTACACAAATTTTACTTTAATTAAAGACTATTTTAAATTTTATTTTAAAAACTATTTTAGACGAAATGAAGAATACGTTGTCTAAGGGAAGTAACTCTAAATGTTTTTAAAAAAATGTAGCTCTTACATTAATGAAGTTAAGAAAGCATCCTTTCCCGGCTGATGTAACACATTGTTGTGAAAGTGTTTCATTTTCCGCGAACTTCACGCTAAATTCTTCGCTCCAAAAAGTTAACGTATTTGTTGTCTGAACTAAAATGGCATCGGCAGGTATTTTACACTTGACCAAGAGGGCCACAATGGCCGAAGATCTTCTCGTCAAGGTAAAAGCCCAACTCGAAGCTCTTAAACAAACTGCGATGTTGAACTTGGTGAAAGAGGAAACAGATCGACTGACACGTGAAAATGAACTTTTGCGAAACGAAGCCAAGGATTTTAAGAAACAATTGATGCTTGCTGAGATCAACAACGGAGTTCGACAGATTCCTATACCGACCAAAAGAAGCATTAGCGAGTCCAACAAAGTTAATGAACAGAAAAACGTCAAGAAGGGTAACGGGAAAGAAGTGAACGAGAAAAAAGTGAAAGTTGATAAAGACACCAAAGCTCCTCCCAGCAGCAATGACTCCATCAACGTTTCAAAACTCGATCTTAGAGTCGGCTTAATCGTGTCTGCCGAAAAACACCCCGATGCCGATAAACAGTACGTCGAAGAGGTGAACGTCGGTGACGAGGGCGGCGCACACAGGACTGTGGTTTCGGGCCTGGTCAATTACGTACCGCTCGAAGCCATCCAAGGTCGCCTGGCTGTCTTTCTTTGCAATTTGAAACCAGCTAAAATCCGCGGTGTCATGTCTGAGGCGATGTTGGTTTGTGCCTGCACTTCTGACAAAGTAGAATTGCTTGTTCCCCCGCCAGGGTGTGTACCCGGAGACCAAGTAATCTGTCCGCAGTTCCCCGGGAAACCCGAACCCCAGCTGAACCCGAAGAAAAAAATTTGGGAGACTGTGAAACCGAATCTGAAGACCAACAACAAGTGTGTTGCAACATTTAAGGGTCAAGTTCTGGTTGTCGAAGGAAAGGGTGAAGTAAATGTCCCCACCTTGGCTGATGCACAACTTTCTTGAAACTTTTATTTTCAACCTCGTTCCTTTTTAATATTTTTACTTGAAAGGATGAATATACTTTTTTTTAAATATATTAAAAATCCGCTTCAGAAATACTTATTTTATCAGCATTTTAATTTTAAAGGCTATCGGTAAAGATTCAGTTAACTAATTGTTTTTTGTGCTTTAAATGTGGTCATAATTTTTTTGTGTGTGTGTGGAGGGGAATTAGTTTTCTCGTGGAATTACAACACCTCTAGGTACCTCCAACAATTCGCAAAAAATAAAAAATTAAACCATTTACAACTAGACGTAGAACATTACTTTGTGCGTATTTATTTATGAAAATATTTCTTTTTCGTTATTTTCTAGAGGCCAGTGTTTCTCAACGTTTTTTACTTCAGGACCCAGTTGTCGAAAAGCTCTGGGGTGAAATTTAAGTTTTACTAAGGAAAAAATAAGTTATTCTGAAATTTGCAAATAATATAAAATATAATAATACTTCTGAAACAAGCATTTATTTTTAAGACATTAAATTGCTCGGTGTCTCGAACATTTTAAAAAAATTTAACTAATGATTAATGAATGTTAGTGTTAAGTTGGGGCGCACCTGGCTATCTTTCAGGGTCTATTAGTGCGCCCCGGCAAACCAGTTGAGAAACACCGCTCTAGTGTAGTTTATTTTTTCTTTTTTTTTAAATTTTGCCTTGAGTAAGGCAAAGCCTCCAAGACGCAAATTGTTTCTGAGCGAGAGAATAAGAAAAAAGAAACATGGGAACAATAAAAGAATCGGAAATAAAAAAACGTTCTCCTTTCAAAACTAAAAGTAAGTTGGATCTTTTCAATACCAGCGAACCCTTGACTAAATGTTAAAAAAAAGCATTTATAATTTGTTTGAAAGGAGAACGAAAAATGAACTTTTATCATATGTAACTTCGCAGTATAAACTACTTGCTAAATTGAAATTACAAGACTTTTTTTTTCCTGGTTTATGACAAGGGCGTTTCCGTAAAAGTCAGTAAACTAAAATTAGTTTCATTATTACTAAAATGCACTGCAACCAGAACTTCTTTCCATTTCAAATTTTTATTTGTTAAGCATTCCAAATCACGAATAGCAATTTTTCTTTTTATAAAAACAAATCAATAGGTGAAATTTTCAAATATATTTCGATTCATGCACATGCTTTTTTTTTTTTTTTTTTTTCTGAGAAAATGCTTTAAAGTCCGCTTGTTTGATAAACTAAGTAACTAGAGATTCATTGTGAATGTAAAAATAAAATCAAAATTATTTTTATGACTTTGTGATTGCACCCCAGACCATTTTTAAGCCAATTATATTATTAATGATGCAAATAATAAAACATTTTTTTTATCACAGTTTGTACAGCTAGCTACACCATTATTTTTTTTCTTTCTTTCTTTCTTTTCGTAAAATTGCAGATTAACCTCCGGAAACCAATTATAATGAACATTTCATATTCTGGTGTAAATTTGCATGCTTATTTCGAAAATAACAGAAATTTTCGGAATAAAAAAAAAACATTTAGGAGTTATCGACAATATAAGTTGAGCTTCTTTCGCGTCTAACCCGGCCGCCATTACTCGCTTTGTTTACATACGTTTGCCTCGCGTAGTAATTCGCGGAAACTTACTTGGTTAACGGCCTTTTTACTGATCTTCTTACTTGCCTTGATTACTACGCGCATAACTTACTCGAGGGAAACATTGTAAACAAAGCCAGTAATGGCGGCCAGATTAAAGCTGAGCTTATATTGTCGATAACACCTAAAAACGGTTTTACTTTTATTGTGCAAACTTTTATTTTCGAAATAAGCATGCAAATTTACACCAAAATGGGAATTTTAATTACAATTGGCTTCCGAGGCTTAATCTGCAATTTTACCATTATTTTTTTTATTTATTTATTTCTTAGTTTTACCTACATATTTGCATAAAAAAAAAGCTAACACAAAGTTTGGGTGGAGTTTAAAATTAAATTGTGAAAATTGAGCTTTTTGAAGTCATAATGTCGCATAAAGTGGAAGGGTCCATGTCGTGGATAAAATTAAAAACGAAGCCTTTTTTTTTTCTTCTTCTTATAATAAAAGGGGGGAAAGCTAATTCACTCGCTTCAAGTCGAAGAATTTCGGGTTTTGTTTTATTTTCAAAATTGAAAAATTCCAAAGAAAATAATTTTAATAAAAAGCAGAAGAAATTGAACCCAGCCTCTCTTCTTATTCCCTCCCCCCTCCTCCAGTGGACAAATCCTAGTCTCATAATAATGGACTGAAAATTCAAGAAACCTTTAATTGAAATTAAAAACATTCGTCACATAAAAAAGGCGGGTCTTATATTCGGCAATCTCTCACTATGAAATATATCGAATATGTGACCGTACCCTTGTTGGGGAAAGATTCCTGGGGTCACCGATTTTATTCAAACATGAGAGAAAAGCTTCGCTTCTTCTCCCCCCACCAAAACCCCAGCTTCTTCTTACCAAAAGGTAGGAAAAAATAAATGAATTGAAAATTCAAGGGACTTTTAATGCAAATTAAGACTTCCATCACATAAAATCGGGTCTTATGGAATACTAGGTAATCCCTATGATGAAATATATCGAATATGTAGCTTTTTTTTTTTTTTTTTTTTGCTATGAACAGATCCATAAATTCGTGACAGAAATAGATGACTTTAGGTAAATTTGCAGATAATGCTCCTGAAACAAATTAATTAAAAAGAATAATATATCATTCTTGGTATAAAATATAGCCTGATTATTCCAAAAATAGAATTAAAAATTGGCGGAAATCTACCGTTTTTTAGAGTCAGTTTTAGTTGGGGCCCGATTACCCTCGATTACTGCTCAAAAGTTTACTGGTCCCGATAATTTGTCACTGGGGCATTATCTGTAATCGACATTTTTTTTGGAATAATCTGTCTTTATTACTGGCCTCCATAAATTGTGACTTCTTTTTTAACCCCCCCTGTGACTTTGTTATCGGCGACGAACCAAATTACATTGGGGGGGGAACAAAAAAACAATTAAAACTTAAAAGTCGAAACTGAATCTTTACCAGGCCATCAGTTATTTGATTTTTTTTCTTTAGTTTTCGTTTTTTATTTTTCTTGATAAAAAAAAGAAAAAATGTAATGATTTAAATGTGACTCTCACAAAAAATCTCTTGTTTAAAAAGATTTTTTTTTTTTAAATTAAAAAAAAATGTATTCGTTTTAAATCGGTTTCTATATTAATGAGTTAAATGACAGAAAAAAAATTGAGTTTTATATTCATTTTATAGTTTCTTTTGAAAATGAAAGAAAATTCAGTTCCAAGAATCATTGAGTGTTAAATTAATTTTGCATACTAGATTTATCTCCCTTGGATGTCATGGAAATTTTTTTTTAACAAGTCGACAAACATTATGAAGTATTCTTGTTTTTGATATATAAATTTATAAAAACTAATGCAAACAAAGAAATACCATCCAAAATATAATTCAACATTTGTGACTTCATATTTCAAGTGCTGTACTGCCTTGTTCCGACATTTCTAAACGGGACGTTAAAAATGAGTACTAATAAAAAAATTAAAAAAAAATATTACCTACGTGACATGTAATGATGGTAAAAATTAGTGATTCTTTTTGTAATAAGAAATATTAATAATAATAAAAATTGTTTAGGGCTTTAAGCTTTTTTTTTTTTTAACTAGGGTTTTTTTTATTCAATATTTAGCGTTAGTCTGAAAATTCTAGACAAATATGAAATTCAAATATTTCATGGAAGAATTTATTAATGGAATCCTTATTCCAAATTTACAAGCAAGAGTGAAACTAAAGGTCACATTGAAAATTGGTTTCATCAAATTTTACGTCCCCAATTTCCACATGTCAGATACTGAAATACTTTCCTTACGTTTCTCTACCTAGCTTCATATTTTAATCCACATTAATTTACCCATCTCACCCATAAATAATCACCCTCAGGAAAAAAAAAAAAATCTCACTTTGTATTTTTTAAGAAATCAGTTATTGCCACCCTTTAGATTTGAAAAATCAAAAATGGGAAACATCTGAAATACAATTTGACTTCATCTGTAACAGTTACATACAGTCATAATCAGAATTCGCGGATAGCTAAATTCAAGATATTTGTAGCTATATTAATATGAAAGGATTCTATTGAGAATAATATGTCTAAATTATTTAACAAAACCTGTCTTAATGAGAATATGCCACCGAAATATGAACACACACACATTCACTGACGAGTGGACAGAGCGATTGCTGGAGGGTCTGTCAACTAAACTCTACAGTCAGTATACTGAAGGTAACATCAATCAGTTAAGTGACAAATTCTATATTTGTATTAGTCATATATCATGAGAAATAAGAGATCTGCTTATCCACCCTTGGCAGTTTAAGGTTAGCCAATCAGCTTACAGTTGCTGATTGGCACACTTTTCTACCTCTTTTGGAGGAAGCGCACTCACTCTTGATAAGACCTGCGAAGTGAACATTTGTAGAACCAGCCAGCTTTACACCATTATCACCACAAAGTCTGCAGATGGCAAAAACATTGACTCTTCTACAGCAGATAAGTTTGGTCGCAGACACCATTAAGTTTGCAAGGTCTTATTTGTAATATTGTTTAATACAGCTTGTCTAAGTCAGAGGTCAGTTGCATTAATTACAACGCCTGCATCTATCATATATGGGGCCCACTTCAATTTCCCATAAAGAATAAAAAAGGCACCAAATATGAGAATAGGTGAAAAAATTTAAGGGAGGTAATTCAGTATGCAGAAATATGGGAGGTGGACATTGTATTTGATGATACCTGAAGATTATATTCTTTGGTTAAGAATGGGAAATGTTAATAAACAGAAATAGAAAAAAAATTGTAAGACAAGCATTTTTTCTTCAGAATAATTTTAATAAAAAAATTAAACAGCCATTTTTTTTTGTTTGTAGTGATTTCTGTTTTTATTTCTACTAATAAAAATATTAAAAGATATTC